GAATTGCCTGAACCCAGGAGGCGGAGGTTGCGGTGAACCGAGATCGCCCAATTCAACCCAAGCCGGGGCAACAAAAACAAAACCCCGTCTAAAAAAAAAAAAAAAAAAGAAGCCAGCCAAAACCCACCAACACCAAGATGGTGATGAGAGTGACCTCTGGTTGTCCTCACTGCTACGCTCCTACCAGCGCCATGACAGTGTACAAATGCCACGGCAAGTCAGGAAGTTACCCTATATGGTCTAAAATGGGGAGGCATGAATAGTCCACCGCTTGTTTAGTATATAAGCAAGAAATAACCATAAAAATGGGCAACCAGCAGCCCTAGGGGCCTTTCTGCCTATGGAGTAGCCATTCTTTTACTCCCTGAGTAAACGGGCTTTCACTTTACGGGTTTGCCTTGAATTCTTTCTTGTAGGAGCTCCAGGGACCCTCTCTTGGGGTCTGGATTGGGACCCCTTTCCAATAACAAAATTAGCTGGACAAAGTTGTGCATGCCTGTTGTCTCGGCTGCTTGGGAGGCTGAGGTGGAAGGATCGATTGACCTCAGGAGGCTGCGGCTGCAGTGAGCTGAGATTGCACTATTGCCCTCTATCCTAGGTGTCAGAGTGAGATGTCGACTCAAGCAAACAAACAAACAAAACCAAAAACAGAAGGAGAGAGAAAATGTCAGTGAAAGAGGCAGTTACGTTGTGCCTGAGAAACATGGGCTCCTTCATGGAATGTGAGAAAACTGTATCATCATTTCAATGGAGCAACAGGTGGTGAAGATTTCTTCAGAGTTATGATTCAGTGACATGTAGTGTCAAGTTTATATGAGTGTCACATTTTCTTTTAATAGTGTTAAAAATGACTCTAAACTTTTGAATCATCAAATTATACTCAGCTGTTCTTAGGGGACGTTTTGTACTTTCGTGAGATGAGCAATTGAGGTTGCAAAAGCCAGTATGGTATGCCCTGCTTCTGACCTCTTAACCTGTGCGTGTCTTGAGGAAAAAACTGGCTCAAAAAATAAAGTCTTTATTTCCCCTGTGCCTGGAAGGGCCAGGAGAAGGTGGAGGGCAGGCAATGTCAGGTGGCACTCTCTCTCAGGGTTGTGCAAATGAGTTTCTCCTTAAACTTTGTGCTCTCAGTGCCTTATTGGCCCCAGCCTAGTCTTGGCCCTGGGGTCCAGCCCAGTGCAGAGAGGATAATAGCAGCTCCTTGGCCAGGCACAGTGGCTCACACCTGTAATCCCAGCACTTTGGGAGGCCTTGGCAGGTAGATCACTTGAGGTCAGGAGTTCGAGATCAGCCTGGCAACATGGTGAAACCCTTTCTCATAAGTAAAATAAAATAATAGGAGCTCTTTTGTTGAATGAATAAGGGGATAAGCAAATGAAGTGTATAAGGAAGGGCATACACATTGGAAAACTCTAGATACTGAGATACTAAGAGTTTCACAGCCTTTGTCCAGCCTATGTTACAAAAGGCTCATGTTGAAGCTGTAACAGCATAACATATGGTGGCTCAGACAACAGACATTTCTCTCTGATGGTTCTGGAGGCTGGAAAGTCCAAGATCAAGATGCTGGCAGATTCAGCTCCTGGGGAAGGCTCTCTTCCTGCCTTACAGATGGCTGCCTTCTCACTGTGTGTTCCTCACATGACAAAGAGAAAGAGAGAAAGAGTGGGTGGTCTCTCTTCCTTTTTTGTTTTTGAGAGATGGAGTCTTGCTCTGTCACCCAGGCTGGAGCACAGTGGCACAGTTTTGGCTCACTGCAACCTCCACCTCCTGGGTTCAAGCGATTCTTCCGCCTCAGCCTCCCAAGTAGCTGGGACTACATGCACGTGCTAAACGCCTAATTTTTGTATTTTTAGTAGAGATGGGGTTTCACCATCTTGGCCAGGATGGTCTCGATCTCTTGACCTCGTGATCCACCCACCTCGGCCTCCCGAAGTGCTGGGATTACAGGCGTGAGCCACCGCACTCAGTCCCTTTTCTTATAAGACAATCCCATCACGGGGGCCCACTCTCATGACCTCATCTAAACCAAATTACCTCCCAAAGGGCCCACCTCCAAATCTCATCACATTGGGAGTTAGGACTTCAGCAAATGAACTGTGGTGAGACAAGGCACAAACATTCCGTCCATAGTGTAGTGCATTAAAATTACACATTTTGGGTCCCTACTTTGGCACAAAAGTTTGATCAGTATAATAGAATTCTAAAGTGGCTGCCAAGATTCCTGCACCCAAGTGCACAAGCTGTGTGATCCCATCCCTTGAGTGGGTGGGCCTGACCTAACCAAGTGAACTCTTTAAAAGAGGGTGTGGAGATTAGACATCAAAGAAGTCAGAGATTGGAAGCATGACAGGAATTTTTCTTGAAGGAGCCAATACATACATTGTAAGAGGGCTACAGGATCAGAAAATAAGAGAGGCATCCAGGAGCTCAGAGCAGTCCCTGGTGATAGCCAGCAGGAGGGTGGGCAACTCAGTCCTACAACCACAAGCAACTAAATTCTTGATGCCAACCTCATGAGACCCTGAGCAGAGAACCCAGCCACATCACACTTTCACTTCTGCCCCACTTTCTTGCTGGCTGTCACCAGGGACTGCTCTGAGCTCCTAGGTGATCATGAATTTGTGTTTTATTAAGTGGCTAGGTTTATAGTAATTTATTACATGGCATAGAAAGCTTATCTTCTTTCTACAATAGATCAGTCCACCTTTCCTGGGTCCTCTATCTTATTAAAAATAGCTCTTATTTGGTTGTTGATTATATTTTTCCCTTGCATTAATATATAACCTCTTCCTTTTAATCCATAACCTTCTTTATTCCCCTACTGTTTCCTTTAGGAATTTACACAGCAATTTTGAATCTACTCCACACATACTGTTATTTAAACACTCACAAAAAACTATTATCTTCCCCCCACCCTCTACAAAGCATCTCCAGGGCACATATTATTGCAAGGCCTCTGTTTTCATCCTTGCAACCAGTGTTCCAAGCTTACAGAGCTTATCATGTTTATTATATAACAACAAGACATAAGCCAAAACAACTTGCTGTGGGTTTTTAAACATAGCAACAGCAGAAATCTTTTCTGGGCTTAAGGAAGAGACACTTCAAATGTCTACTAATTTCAGCAATTTTCTGGTCTATGGGATGAAAAGTCTAAAACTGGTTGTGAAGGTATTTAAGTACACTTACAGAAAACCCACCGCTCCACCATCAGACACCATGACGCAAAGTGCTCCCTGGTTGGGATTCACAGGCTGCCTCTCAAAGGAGTATTGCCTGTGTGGTGAATGCTCTTGGAGGAGAAAGAGAAGGGCACGAAACGGGGACCCTTCAAAGTTGGCACCGTGGTGATTCACTCTGTGGCACAGGGCTTGTTCCTTCCTTTTGTTTCCTTTTCTAATGGGGGGACCATTAGCAGTTGTATTCAGATGAAGAGCTCATTTAGTTGTAAGTGCTAAAAACTCAATCTGGTTTAAGCACAGCAGGCTTCTTGGCTGATATAAGGGATTGAGCCAAGCCTGTGCTATCTTCCTTGACCTCCCCTGTTGGTTTCATTCTCAGGCACCCACTCCCCACATAATGCCCTTCGCTTCTCCGCCCCCAGTCCAAATATCTGGCCTCACTCCATGGAAAAAGGGTGCCTCTTTCCTCCATTCCAGCCACTAACCCTGGGCTGACCCCTTGAGCTTTGGTCACATGTCCTCCCCTTAAATTAGTGCCGTGGCCAGGGAGATGGAACCCGCTGGCCAGCACAGGGCATGTGTGTCTACTTCTAGAGCAGGAAGATGGGGACTGAGCATGGGGGAAGGCTGGGTCCCCAGAGGAAAACCAGGGTGCTGTTACCTTTGTAGGATGAAGTGGACACTGGGTGAACCGCACACGGCCTCCAGCAGCAGGACCTATCCCAGCACCAGATAGAGCTGGGAAGACTTGAAGCCCAGAGAGGCCACAGGGAGCAGAGGCTTCTCCCCGGCTGGATGCTTCCACTGAGCCAACCAGCATTTGACACATTCATCTATTTGTGTGTGCGCTTCTCACCCAGGTCGCCTGCCTGGAAGTAGAGTCCACGTGGAGGTGTATAGCACGGTGTTTCTCTGCCTCAGGCCCTCTAATTTTCTCTCTTGGCCCACAAGCAGTGGGAATTTCTGTGCCCCTGTCCCTGTGTTCCTCTGAGAGTGGTGGACTGCCTTTGCTCCCTACACAAAAATCTGAGGCTGTGGGTGGGAGTCTGCATGCAGCAGGAGGTGGGCAGCTGAAGTAACCTTGGGTCCCAGGTCTTTGGAAGCCCACATTGTCCCTAGAGCTGTTGCTTCTCTCCATGGGCTTGTGGGGTTGTTCTGTCCCCACTTGTGTCCTGTTGGATCTGCCACCCAGCAGGACCTCTCTGGATCCACTTCCTGTGGGATCTCCCCACAGCATCTTTCAGGGGTGCCATGACTCCTGCTTTCTGGATTGAGATAGTAGGAAGGGCTCTCTCTTGTTTCCTTCTTTCTTTTTTTCTTTTTTTTTGAGGCAGACTCTTGCTCTGTTGCCAGGCTGGAGTGCTGTCACGATCCCGGCTCACTGCAACCTCTGCCTCCTGTGTTCAAGTGATTTCCCTGCCTCAGCCTCCCGAGTAGCTGGGACTACAGGCATGCGTCACATGCATGTCTAATTTTTTGTATTTTAGTAGAGATGGAGTTTCACCATGTTGGCCAGGATGGTCTCAATCTCCCGACCTCGTGATCCACCTGTCTTGGCCTCTCAAAGTGCTGGGATTACAGGCATGAGCCACCACGCCCAGCCTCTTGTTTCTAATTGAATACTGGCCTATGCCAGACTAACCAAATACTCCCCGATCATTCAAAGTGTCTACTCCATGCCCTTGGGCAGATTCCATTTCTGCTTAACCAGAGAGACTTCCCTATTCCCTCAAAGAGTTAAACACTCTTTGATGGGAAAGGCAGGAGATTTTCTCTATGTAGTATACATATTTGGAAACTTGGCTCTTAGCAGTTGGGTGTATTATATGCAAAAATAAAGTGCCTATTAGTTTTGCTGAATTTTATTAATATTGAGGGTCCATTATAAAAGCACCCATTAGGTCTATAACAGCATCCCTTAAAATGTATCCTAGTGAGGTTATCTATTTGATTCATGATGCTTAAATCATTAATTTTGTACTTAACATAGGAAACGTGATTGATTCATTCATGTGGCAAACTTGTACTTATTAAATATTTATAAAGTGTAAGGTACTGAGCTGAGGAATACAAAATATCTAACACTCATATCTTCTCCTCCAAAAGTTTATTGTCTACTAGATGAAGCAAGCGCGTAGCACAAAAATAGCTAAATGAGGTTCTGTGTCAGAATCAGTCTGTTTCTTGAGGAATACCACTTATTTGAAGTTCACCTAACGTCAAGCTTGAGGAGTTTTTATTGAAGCTAACTAAGGTTTGGCTCAGGTGTCTGGTATTAGAAAGGGCCACTCAGAAACTCCAAATACCATAAAGGTTCTGCATACTGGGGAGGGGCTATAGAGCTTCAGGGGTTCTTTCACTTCAAAATTAAGAATTTTTTCGAACTGCTCTGCAAGAAGCTGTGTAAAACCCAATGGAAAAAAATGACTAAATCATTCTTGATCTTCTGGCATTTAACAGAGCAAATTGTAAGTGGAAAGGGAGCGGGAATGTCAGATTATTAATGGTACATTAACTACCTGAAGAACCTGTGGGTCAATAGAATGTGCAGAGAACCCTTTAAAGGGAATGTATCATGTGAAGTCAAAACAGATGGATGGCAGAGTGAGTGGGCAATGATGAGGGGACATGCGTCAGACACTGACAGGGTCTGCTACGGGCACCAGGGAGAAGCCGTCTCAAAGACTAGAGCCCCACATCTGTGCATCTCTGGAAAGCGCCCTGGTTGGCTTATCTTTGATCACAAGTCGCCCTTGGGCCAGTCAATCACCTGGACCCAACATAGCTGATGGCTCTGTAGTAGCCATGGGAGCTACTGGGGTGGGAATATGTGGGGAAAGTAACCGTGAGGGGTGTGCCCTAACTGGGGAGATAGTCCTAGAAAAAGGGTGCCCAGTATGCCTGACTTTAGCTGGAGAAATTTCTGCAGCTCAGCTTTCACTCTCCATCATTCGGCATTGAGTTACTCTTGTTTTGTCTATGACTCTGACATTAGATCCCAGTTCTAAAAAAAAAAAGCCATGAATGAGACACGAAAGTGCCCACCTGGATTGCTGAAACAGGGTATTGTTCTTCACCGTGTACCATGTGAGTCCTGCTGCCAGTAACTCAGTTCTAGAACTGGACTTCTCAGAGACCAGGGCCTGTATGAGTCTGTTCTCACGCTGCTGGTAAAGGCATACCTGAGACTGGTAATTTATAAAGGAAAAGGTTTAATGGACTCACAGTTCCACATGGCTGGGGAGGCCTCACAATCACAGCAGAAGGCAAAAAGCACATCTTACATGGCAGCAGGCAAGAGAGAATGAGAGTCAAACAAAAGGGAAAACTCCTTATGAAACCATCAGATCTCATGAGACTTATTTACTACCATGAGAACAGTATGGGGGAACCGCCCCCATGATTCAATCACCTCCCACTGGGTCCCTCCTGCAATAGGTGGGAATTATGAGAGCTATGGCTCAAGATGAGATCTGGGTGGTGACACAGCCACACCATCTCAGGATCCTTACCCTGAACCTGGGCCTATGACCCAGCTCCACTCTCACTGGTAGACTAACCTGATGCTAACTGCAGAACATCCCTTTTTTCTGGAATCTCAGCTGCTATGCTTTTAGCTCCATGTCTGCCTCTTCCTGCTGCAGTTACTGAGCCATGATGACTGCCTCACAAAGGCTGCCTGTAAGGCAAGGCTCAGTGTGAAGGCTTTGCAGAGGCTTGATCCGTGGAGCGAAATAGAAAATGACTGAGAGTCGGGTTCCTGGAGGCAGCCAGCACCAAAATTGTCTGGGAGGGCATGGTTACTCCAAAAGATCGTCTGGGGGCGTTCTCACACGTTCCTGACATCTTCTTCTCGCCATACTTTTGATACAGGGAATTTGAGCTGGCTGGAGTGGGTGGACGAGGTGGAATAAGAAAAAAAAAAAAATGCAGACAGCTTCAGAAACCAAAATCACAAAATCTTACTGTGGATTCTGTCCATTCCTGGACATTTGGCTCGTTTTAGGAGGATACTTGAAAACCACACACACAGGCAGATTACACGCAGACCACCACATCACTCCCCAGCACTTTCGTTTCCTGGCTGTGACCCTTCAGAAACCTCCCTGGGGAGGGTCTTTGCCATCTCCTCCCCTCCCCAGAGAACTGTAGGGTTAAGGAGGGCTAAGAGTGAAGCTTGCGAGTAAACTGGCGGTGTGCACCTCTTCTTACTCAGATCATCGAAACCCCCTCCAAGGATGTGAAAAACTAGCCCATATCTATGAGGCTTGCCAGACTCCAGAGATGACTTCCAAGACTGACTCCACAGGCTAGGCAGGAAAGGTTTCTCTGCTCTCTGGGCAGTAAGGAGGTCATCAAGGCTGGGCATGGTGGCTCATGCCTGTAAGTCAACACTTTGGGAGGCCAAGGCAGGCAGATACCCTGAGCCCAGGAGTTGAGATCAGCCTGGGCAACATGGTGGGACCCCCATCTCTACAAAAAATACAAAAATTAAGCCAGTGTCATGCTGCACACCTGTAGTCCCACCTACCCTGGAGGCTGAGGCAGGAGAATTGGCTGAGCCAGGGAGCTGGAGGCTGTGGTGAGCTACGATTGCTCCACTGAGCCACTGCACTCCAGTCTGGGTGACAAAGCAAGACGCTGTCTTGAAAACAAATAAACAAAAAGCAGTGTGCAAAACATCTGGTTTTGAAAACTTCAGGGATATGAGGAGACTAATCTCTAAGGTACGCAAGTCCTTGGTTTTTAGAAAGAATCACTAGACTGTTTTTTTTTTTTTAAAGCAAACTCTCATAGTTAATAACAATATATTGTGTACTTGAAAATTGCTAAGAGAGTAGATCTTAAGTGTTCTCACCACAAAAATAAGTGTGTGAGGTAATGCATATGTTAAATAGCTTGATTTAGCAATTCTACAAAGTGTGTGTGTCTCTCTCTCTATATATATGTATACAAGCATCATGTTTTATACCATAAATATATACAATCTTTACTTGCCAATTTAAAAAAGAAAAAGCCAACTCTCAAAAGAGAGGAGTGGTAGAGATGGTGCTACCTCTCTGTCCAGTTCTTTGTTCTTTTTATTCTGAGCATTTTGGTGAAGGCAGCGTGGCCCAGGAGGAGGATGGGGCCGGAGAGCAGGCTATGGAGGGAGGATACTGGCTGGGCCCTTTCCTAGCTGTGTGACCTTGGGGCAACTTACAGAACCTCTTGAGCCATAGTCTCTTTATCTAAAATTGGGCATAATAA